CGCGACACTGAGGGTTGCGATCCGTTGCCAGACACGAAAAAAGACAAAAAGGGAAAAAAAAGAAAGAAAGAAAGATGGATTAATTGCTGGAACTAAGTCGTAGAGTAGGCAAGGAGGAATAGCATTAAAAAGCAAATTCTTGGCCAGACACCATTTCATTCCTGGAGCCTCCAGTTTCTTTGTGGATGACCAATCATAATCAAATGCAATCTCTTTGAAAAATGGGATCCCTAGGTAGTTCATGAACATCTTTGTCAAGCAGATTTCTTCACATTGGCCTATATACTTAATAATAGTTATAGAAGCAGTTATTAAATATGTTTTTAAAGAACTCTAAAATCAATGAAACAAGTGTTTGTATTCAGTTTATAATCTGGTACAGTGATTCTTAACCAGGGACAATTTTGCCCACTGGGGGCATTTGGCAATGTCTTTTGGCTGTCATGATAGGGAACAGTAGTGCTATTGGCATCTAGTAGGCAGAGGCCAGGGTTGCTGCTAAACATTCTACAGTGAACAGGACAGTCCTCTCTCTCTCACCACGGCAAAGAATTATCTGGTCCAAAATGTGAGTAGTGTTGAGGCTGAAAGACCTTGAAAGAGAAGTAGAATGTAAATAAAATTAAAACTCAGGTAGAATGTGATATGCTCTGTGAACAATATAAAGTACCAAGGAGATCAGAAGAACTTACAGTTATATTTGGTTGGGGAAATCAGGTACAGTTTCTTGGAGGAGAATGGTTTTATCCTAGGACTTCACAGGATAGGTAAGATTTCTGTAGGTGAAAATGAAAGACAGGCATTTTAGAAAGGATATAATGTGAGCTAACACATGTGTCAGGAAAGTGAGAGTGTGTTTGGGAAACAAAATATGGTTTGAGTCAGGCCTGGAGTATTTATAGGAGATTAGTGGCAGGTGAGATTAGACGGATGGGTTAAGGTTAGATCTTGGAGGACTGCGAATCCCAAACAGAATCATTTACCTTACTTCTTCACCCATTCATACGAATTCTTACAGTTTGTAAAATAGTTACTTAGTCTTTGTTTTCTGTTTGTGCCAACTCATTTCGACTATAAGCTTTCCAAGGGCAGGGACTTGTCTTTTTCTTTTCTGCTCTCCACAGTGCCCAGAGAGTAGTAAGTGTAGAAATTATTTGTTGATTTTGATTGGTGGGTAAGATTCAGTCCTGTTTTGTTAATTCCATTAATGCAGTGAACCAAGGTTTTACCTATTTATTTTTGATCATTTTAGAAAAAAGGAAGAACCAGTGGTGGCTGAGACAGTAGAAAAGGTGAGGAATGAACCTGTCCTGGTGTGTCCACCCTTACGAAGCCAAAAATACA